ATGAATGATAGAAATTTGTGTGGCTGTAAATTATTTCAGTAAGTGTAAAATAGACATTTTATAGTTAAATTGTTACTTATTATAGAAATGTGTCATTCTTTTTGGGACTGACTAAAAAGGAAAGTAAGTCACATAAATTGAGACAGAGGGAGTAGTATTTATTATAGGTTCATGAATTGAAAAGAAAAACTTAACTTCCAAACACCTATAACGTAGAATTTTAAAAGTGTCTTACAAAAAGTCTATAACGTAGAATTAAGGGAAAAGGTACAAGTATCCCCCTAGACTATTACCGAAATCCCAGATACACACCTTAATCAAACTAAGGTCCTATTACCCCTTGAACACATTTGTTTTTTGTAATTTTGTACACCTTTTTGGCTTACGTGGCATCCAAATATCTCTCACGCGCTTGAACTGCATGGAGTCATGGAGTGTGCCACATAATCCAAAAGGTGTACAAAATTATATAAAAAAATGAGTTCAGTGAGGTAATAGGACCTTACTTTAGTTAAGGTGTGTCTCTGAGATTTCGGTCATAGTCTAGGGGGGTACTTATGCCTTTTCCCTAGAATTAAAATAAAAATGAATTTTACAACTCACATTCAGTATTTTCACGGAATGTGATCTGGGACACGATGGGAGTTTGCGTGTCCCGGTAGAAAAGATATCACCGGAGTATAGCGCAAGATCACCTTTTCTTGCTGCCATGGGGTCGACCTCTGAACAAGGTAAACCCAATGGGAACCAAAAAACGGGGGGTATTTCAAAACTTTTAACGGATGAATTTGTTTCAAAATTAATTGAAACACTAACTCTTACAATCCCCCACTTGTTTTAAGAAATTTTTATCTTTGAAAAATCCAAAAAATATTTTGAGACACTAATCTAGCAACATGCATCAATAATGGTGTCTTTTGGACTAGAACCATTAGCTAGTGAAGGCTTTCTAAATCATTGACTACTTAGTGAACGAATCTTGAACTAAGTGGTTCATTAAATGAAATAGAAAAATACTCCACGCATATCACTATGTTCCGGTTAAAATTGAAATCCTTTGACACCTTACGGCCATGTGTCTTGAATCCTTTTAGCCAAGTGCTTTAAGATTTCCCTGTTAAAATCTTGTTGAAGCGGCCTCAACATCGCACTTAGTGCGGTGAATTCAGCAAGAGTAACTTTGCATACTCTGACCAAATACTCTATGAATTTCATTAAGAGAAATTAATCTCATCCTCCTTTACAATAAAGTAACGGTAAATCTATCAAGAGTATTCCTACACACTCCAACCGAAATCGGTTTATAGACTTATTAAGAGAATATAATATCATCCTTCTCTTTAGTAGGAATATTGAAAAAAAAAGTATCAAGACTTTTCTTACTAACTCCAACCGAGATCGATCTTATAAATTTATTAAGAGAAAAGAATCTCAATCATGCACATCTGCTTATTTCATTTTATTTTGAAAATGGGAATTTTATTGATGTGCTTCACAATTGTAACTTTACTTGTTGTTCCCTTTGAACCCAAGATTACATCATTAGGTAGGGTTACCATAAAGTACAATTAATTTACAACAAGCTTTATTCCCATCGCATTACAAGTTTCCACCACTAACTATTTGCCTAACCCTTTAGACAAAGATCCGCAAAATTAAATTTGGACTTCACATATTGAAGTGTTATCACGCCTTCCTCCAATAATCTCCTCACATGATTGTGTTTGAGACGAACTTGTCTTGACTTGCCATTGTAGCAATCACTTGAAGCCCGATATATAGCAGTTTGATTATCACAATAGATAATTAAAGGTGGTACTGGCTTGCTCCACAAAGGAATATCTAACAGCATAGATCGTAGCCAATCAGCTTCTTCTCCAGCAGAAGACATAGCTATAAATTCTGACTCCATGGTTGAGTGAGTAATACATGTCTGCTTCTTTTATTTTCAAGAGATCGTTGCTCCAGCCAAAGTGAAAATCCAAGCAGTAATAGATTTAGAGTCATTCGGATCAGAATTTCAAGTAGCATCGCTATAGCCTTCAATAACAGCTGGAAATGTAGAATAATGTAGGCCAACATTAATTGTACCCTTCAGATATCTTAAAACACGAATTAAGGCACTCCAATGTTCATCTCCAGGATTACTAGTAAACTTGCTCAAAGTCCCTACTGCGTAACCAATATCCGGCCTGGTACAATGCATGGCATACATAAGACTCCCAACAATCTGAGAATAAGTCAACTAATCAAGAACATCACTAGAGTTCCGCATTAGTTTGATGCAAAGATCAAATGGTGCAGGAGCAGGTTTGTCGTCAAAGTGACCAAACCTCTTTAGAACTTTCTCAATATAACTTAATTGAGTAATAGTCAAGCCATTCGCTGATCTCATGATTTTAATACCCAAAATTACATCAGCTTCTCCAAGATCTTTCATTTCAAATTGAGAAGCTAGAAAAGATTTTGTTTCTTTGACTCATTCAATATCAGTTCCAAAGATCAACATATCATCTACATAAAGACATATTATAACACCAAATTTTTCTTGAAATTTGCTAAATATGCAAATATCACCACCATTGATTAAGTAGCCATTAGAAATCATTACTCTTCTAAATATCTCATTCCATTGTTTTGGAGCTTGTTTTAATCCATAAAGAGATTTAAGAAGGTTACAAACTTTGTGTTCTTGACCAGGAACAACAAATCCTTCTGGTTGTTTCATGTAAACTTCTTCATCTAGATCTCTATTCAGAAATGTAGTTTTCACATCCATTTGATGTATTATCAGACTAAGAATTGCAGCTAAAGCAATCAAGCGTCGGATAGAAGTCATTCAAGCTACAGGTGCAAAGGTATCAAAATAATTAATATCTTTCAATTGAGTAAAAGCTTTTGCTACCAAGCAAGCTTTGTACTTATCTACGGTACCATCAGATTTCAATTTCTTTCTGAAGATCCATCTACAACTAATAGACTTACATCTAGGAGGGAGGTCTGATAAAATCCATGTATTATTTGACATAATAGAGTGCATTTCATCATCAATAGCTTCATGCCAAAAAGGAGCATCATATGAAGACATTGCTTCAGCATAACTTTCAGAATCCTTTTCAACTAAATAGACTGGAAAATTAGGTCCAAAGTCTCTTGGTTTGGCTGATCTTGCACTCCGTCTTGATTGACTTTTTTCCAAAGGCTCAACTATTTTCCTTTTAAGAGGAGATATAGAAGAACTTGTATCTTGTTCCAAAGGTTCTTTTTACTTAGAAAATATATGCTCAAAAAAGTTAGCATGCAACGATTCAATAATTGTGTGAGGGCTTGGGGTCTAAGATTCAAAAATCTATAAGCCTTACTGGTTTGTGAATAACCAACAAATACACAATCTACTCCTCTATAGCCAATCTTAGTCAAATGTTGATCTAGTAATCTAACATGAGCCAAACAACTCCATACTTTAAAATAATTTATATTTGGCTTTCGATTTTTTCAAAGTTCATACGGAGATGAATCGTGTTTCTTGGAAGGAATTCGATTCAAAATATGACATGCAGAAAATAAGGCTTCAGTCCGCAAATTTTCAGTGATACCAGTACCATAAAGCATAGAGTTAACCATTTCAATGAAAGCTCTATTTTTTCTTTCTGCTACACCATTTTGTTGTGGTGTATAAGACATAGTCAATTATTTCTCAATGCCTTTTTTTCACAAAAATCAATAAAATCTTATTTTAAATATTCTTCACCTCTGTCAGATCTAATTGATTTAATCTTCAAACTCAATTTATTTTCAACTTCTGCTTTATATGTTTTAAAAGTCTCAAATGCCTCATCTTTTGTTTTTAATGGAAAGACATATGTATACCTTGAGTAATCGTCAATGAAAGTGATAAAATATCTCTTTCCATGACGTGATAAACAATCCATCTCACAAATATCAGTATGGATTAACTCCAAAAGTGTGGATATCCTTTCAACAGACTTAAAAGGTTTCTTTGTTATTTTACATTTACTACAAGTAATACACTTAGCAACATGATCCTTTCCACAGTCTTTTATTTTATTTTTTGAAAAAGAAGAAGCCATGTGGACAAAAATCAAGGCCACACGCGCGCAAAAGAGTGTGTACACACACATTTGGTCCAGTCAGCACAAAGGTGTGTTTTTCAAACTAAAGTGTAATAGTTTAGGTGTGTTTCTCACACTTTCAATAGTTTGGGTTTGAAACTCAAAAAAAGGCATAGTTTAGGTGTGTTTTAACCACTTATCTCAAAAATAAAATATCAAAACACACCTAAACTATAAAATTGTTTGACTACTTTCCCACCTAAACTATTAGGAGAGTGAGAAAACACACCTAAACTATCATTCATAAATTTGAGAAACACACCTTAAATTATATGTTACACTAGTTGCTTAAGCTCGCTCAAAAGGGACTGATATTTGTATATCAATGATGCCATACAAGGAATCCACGACGCCCTTTGGTAGCTTTAAAATTTGAGGGGTGAGTAATTGTCCATGACATCAGATTCTATTTATTTTTTTTTGTTTAATAACTGGTTAGACTATATTTGTGGTATCATTATGCCACCAAATAGAGCATATTTTCTTTCTATTGAATTGTCGCTTTTTACAGACTACTTCATCTATCATTTTCTGATTACGATTATTTAAACAACTATGAGCAGCTAAGGACAGAAGTCACCAAAGCATTTTTAGTAGCTCGAAGTAAAAAATTGATCGGCTCTAGTTTGTATAGTATAGAAACACTGAAATCAAGTAATGCTTCAATTTGCCGAGCAACCTACAACGATATTAAATTACTTGGGCTGCAAATCAGTATATCATCCTATTCACAACCAAAATTCGACACCATCCTATTCACAACCAAAATACACGACTTAAGAACAGTTCGAACCACATAAAAATCAGTCACCATGTTTAGTAGCTTACAATAACTACTTGGACTGCAAATCAGTCACCGTATTTAGTAACATCAAAGTTCACAACTAAAAGTCGATATCGTCCTATTCACAACCAAAATATGCGACTTAAAAATAGTTCGAGCCACATGAAAAATCAGCCACATCATCCCTAAACACCTTCAGTTCTTGCTGCACCTTGTGATGAAGTTTGTGACTTGATGTTCTTCTATCTAAGCAAAACACTTTTATGTTGAAGTTGTCTTCCTGTGATAGCAATTTTCCCCTTCCATTTAAGACCTTTACTTGGTGCATACCCAAGGTCACCGGTGACAATAGCTGAACTTATCAGTTTCTCTTGTGCTCCACTCTTGATTACCCTACTAATAGATCTTCCTTGTTGTAAAGTAATAAAGAGTTGTTAAATTATTTTTAAGAAGTTTAATCAAGAATATAAGCTTATTAACTCTCGTTTTTACCTCGACACAAATAAAACCATCTTTGCTCACAAATACTCCATGACTCACTACTCTTGGACTCTTAAATGCATTATTTGCACCTTTTCTATTACCACTGTCACTTTGCACTATTGCTTGAGATGGTTCAGAAGATTGAGATTGTTGTACTGCTTGAGTGGGGTGAGATTTTTTCTTGCCACTTCTTTTACTACCGGCAGATGCTTGTGATGTAGTAATACCCTATGCAAAGAATAATTTTGAAAGTGTTAACGGTATTAATACACTATAAATAAACGTTAATAGAAATCAAATGTACCTCTGAAGTGGCTGGAGGTTTGTTTGGACATGTTCTTATATTGTGACCTTTAGACTTACAAGCGGAGCAACTCATGGTTTTTCCCCTCTTTGGAAGCTTTCCAGAACTTGGTACCTCTCCAAGCTCCTTCTTTCTTTTTTTACCAGGCCTTCCCAGCATTTTCCTAACAGGAGGTGGCTCAACTTTTGAATTCGATGTCTCGGGCCACATCTTCATGTTTGTTACTGGTTGTAAAAAATGTTTATAAGCTTTAAGGTAGGTTTCTTTTTTGTACTACTTACAAATCGAGTCAAGGAGATTAGCTTCATCGTGATGTATAACTGCTATTGCATGTGCACAAGGAATCCCTTTCAATCCCCAACTTCTACAAGTGCAAGTTCCTTGAATTAGGTCAACCATATGTATATATGGACTATCTTTCACTTCATACCCAATGTCACCATTCCAACTAATTTCCACCCTCATTGACTTCTTCACATTTGTAGTTAGCACCAACATTGCCATTGGAGATATGTCATGAGTCCAACTATTTACAAATGTTGTCACTTTAGTGAATCTATTAATTACCTTTTTCCTTATTTCTTCAAGCATACTGATGATAGTCTTGTGCCTAGCACCCAACACCCAAGCATTAAAACTTTCAGCATATTGTTATCCACACTGTCACATTTTGAGGATGTCCTAAACTGTGCTTTGGACCATCTATTAGGATTGAAGTTTGCCAAGTCATTAGAAATATATTTGCCTAATTGTGCTAATTTATCCAAGTTCTTCCTGAGTTCAGCTTCAAATGTTGATCTAGCACAAGCCTAAAACCTCTTTCTTTCCTCAACACCTTTCCAGTTTTTTGACCAGTTTGCAAGTATATGTCTTGCACACATTCTTTGTTCACATTCTGGAAGCAACTCCTGAACAGCTAAATATAATCCCTGAAAAACTTATGTACCACTCAAAACAATAACTAAAATATATGTTGCTTGGACTCTTCAAAAATGTCAATGAGGGCATGTTGAATTAGCCAAAAATAATATATTTTTTGTTAATCCAATACAAGTGTGGCATCAAAAGTGAAGAATACGCACAACTAAGACTAAAATCACTTAACAACTAAAGCTAAAAGGGATGAAAATAGTAGCAAAAAAAATAATAATAGCTAAACAAGTTGAATAACAAAGTACCGCTAGAGTTTGTAATTTTGTGGACAAGATAGAATGTTGTTATGGACTATCAAAAGGTCCTTACAAAATGCTGAAATCAATAGTTAAAAACTACTTATAACACATCAGCTAAAAAAATCATGAAATCAGTACTTAAAATTGGATTATTAGAGATGAAACAGAGGTTAAAAAAGAGCTTAAATTAGTAGTTAAAATTACTTAAAACACATTAACTAAAACTTGTAAAATTAGTAGCTAAAAAAGCTGAAAATAGCAGCTAATATTGGCTAAAAAAGTTGAAACCAGAGGCTAAAAATCGTACCTTTTGCATATCACTTATGATAGTCAATCCTTCTCCTTCATCATTAATGTCCAAATCAGATTTCAAGATTCTCAAAAACCAAGTCCAAGTTTCTCTACTTTCAGTTCCAACAACAGCCCATGCTATTGGGAACATCTGATTATTCCCATCCTTTGCAATAGCAACAAGTAGCTGGCCTTTAGATATTCCCTTCAAAAAGCAACCATCTAACCCAATGCAATTTCTACAACCCTCAATGAATCCTTTTTTCAAAGCTGAAAAACAAATATGAAAGGAATGAAAGAATTTTTTTCCATCATCACAATTTGTCACTTTCACCACACAAGTGCTTCCTGGATTTTATTCAAGAAGCATATCTCTGTAGTCATAGATTCTACTAAACTCAGCAACATGATCACCCATTATCTTTTTCAACACCATTTTTTTGGCCTTCAAACACACGAACTTACCAACATACAATCCCATGTCTGTCCTAACCAAATCTTGTATTTCCCATCCTTTTATGCAAGGTTGAGAAACAATTCTACTTTTATAGTACTTAGCCAAAAACTTAGAGTTGCACATTGTGTTGATATTGGTCCTATAACACTTATGTCTAGGATTGTAGGTTTTTATAATGAAATCAGAAGATTTGAAATCTTTGTTTGCATAAAGTATCCAAGGACAGTCATTAGCTTTGCATTTTACTCTGACCCTTCTTTGATCATTGTGGATCTTATCCAGTTGACAACCTCTCTCAATTGCATACTTGCTCAAAGCTTCTCTGAATTTTTTCACATTTTCAAATACCATATTAAGTTGCCACACAACTTTTTTCCATGTTGGATTATATGAGACCCTTTTGTCCTTCTTTCTTGCCCTTAAAATATCATATCTTTCAACATCTATTTCCCCCTCACTTTCACTTTCAAAACTATCGGCATCAGAACTGTCGTAAAAAGGCTCATCACCTACTAGCTTACCAGTTAAATTTTTCTTGGGTTTATCAATGTCTTTAAAACCAGGATCTATGCCAACTTCTCCCAAAAAACACTCAGCAATTTTTTTTTCCTTGGCTCTTTTGTTTCTTCAAATCCTTCTTAACTATGCTCAGCTCTTCATGAATATCAGTCCCATAACCATCCTCGTCACTAGAAAAGTCAACATTCTCATCACTTTCAGCATCACTATGCACAATAGTTTCTACTTCATCTTCCTCCGAATATTCATCTTCACTAGAAAACTTAAATTCATCTTCAACTTCATTTGTGTTTCTGCTGCCATTTTCTATTAGATTTGATTGTTGGACCCCGACAATTTGATCTCTACCATCAATAAATGTTATTTCTTTCCCTAAAGGTGCATTGAGACCTTCACCAACTTTGTTGGTAGATTCTTTATTAGGTCTATCAAATTCATTGCATGTGGTCTCAAAAGACTCATTGGTCACATGTGTTGTTTTGATAAAAACTTCCCCTTTATGGCAGATATAAATGTCCATAGTACCCCCAGCAACCAACAAATTGGCTAAGACCAACAAATCCCTATATTTAACCAATTCTACCAAATTGCCAACTTGAGCAGCTCCAATATATATTTTTTCTATATTGGTAACCCCAAAATCCCTGCAATAGTCATTCACTTCTGGAATAGACAAATGGTTTATATCAACATTGAACGCATATTCTTTCCCCCCGCCCCCCCCAATATAAGTAGGTCCTACCTCACTCACAAATATACCACCGATGTGAAACCTCAAATTTACGTACTTAGTGCCCATTACCTTAGAACAATTGAAATATGCAAAGTTTAATAAGCCAACTATTGTTCATGAAATCAGTAACTAAAAATTGCCACCAGTACGAAAATTAAGTTCAGGAGTAAAGAAAGAGTACCTTATGTAGTCAATTTCTTCTCCTTTCAACTCTTTTCAGATGGTATGAATCAAAACCTAAAAAATTATACAAAATCATTAATATTTTGAGACAAAAATAAGAACCCTAACATTTTTTGACAAATGAGTAACTAACCTTCAAACCATGATGAATTTGTGAATTAATCGTTAAAACCCTAATTTTACTCAAAATTTTCACACACCAAAGAGACTCAGCTGAGAAACAGAGAAAGATGCTTCTACACGTTGAAGGTTAAACTTTAATCTTTTGACATGGTGGAATTTGTTTCCATGTGGCAATCTATGTGGCATTTAAAAAATAATAATTGAGAGAGTGTAATACACACACTATCATATTTTATTTGAGGTGTGTTTTTCAAACTAAAGTGAAATAGTTTAGGTATGTTTCTCACACTTTCAATAGTTTGGGTATGAAACTCAAAAAAAATGTATAGTTTAGGTGTGTTTTAACCACTTATCTCTTTATTTTTTTAAAAAGAAGATGCCATGTGGACGAAAATCAAGGCCACACGCGCGCAAAAGAGTGTGTACACACACATTTGGTCCAGTCAGCACAGAGGTGTGTTTTTCAAACTAAAGTGTAATAGTTTAGGTGTGTTTCTCACACTTTCAATAGTTTGGGTATGAAACTCAAAAAAAAGGCATAGCTTAGGTGTGTTTTAACCACTTATCTCTTATTTTTGCTAGATTTTTTTTTCCACTTAGACTTGTATTAGTAACTTAGTTACTTTTGCTAGAATTTTTAAAATTTTGGTTTGTATAAATAATTTAGCTAAATGTATTGTCAACACCAATCATTTGATCCTTTACTATTCTACTTTTTCTTTGTTATGAAGCAAAATTAATATAATTGTCACATTTCAACAACAACAACAAACTATGATGATTAGGAGTTTCATTTTTATTATACTTGCAAAAAATGTTATTGAAAAATAAAATATTAGTTTCATGATGCCATTTTTTTTTGTGTATGTAACAATCTGTTTTCTTCGCCATCCTTTTTGGTTTGAAATGTATTTATAAATTTTATGCAGTCACCGATTATTATATTTTCTTTGTTCATTTTTTGTATTTTCACCCCTTATTTTTATTTATTTATTTTACAAATAAAATCAATGTGTAATTAGTAATACATTTAATGTCTAATAAAATTATACATTTAAATTATTTATAACTCGTGTCTCTTCATCTTATTTGTAACTTCTAATATTAAATATTATTCATAACTATTGTATGTTTCATTTTTCATAATTCTTAATAATATTTAATTAATGTTTAGAAAATTATAATATACAAATGTAATAATAAAGACAACAAAAATTTCAATTTTGTTTTTACGAAATCAAAGTTATTATAGAAATCTTAGTACTCCTACAAAAGATAGAGGAAGTTGAAACATATAAAATATTTACAACGTGATACAATATATTGTTATTTCAACATATGACCTCTTATTCCATTTACTTCACCACGATGAATATTTTGTTCTACTATATACATATACAAAAAAATACATTATATTTTATATGTTTAAAAAAAATGAAAAAACGTATGATATTGCAGATGAAGAGAAATATTAATATTATCTATATATTTGATACTAACATTAAATATAAATATTACACATTATTATCTTATAAATATTCCATATAGTTCGCGCGGATACGGTCACTAGTTATACTATAACTTCAAGCCTTTTGTAGTGAAGTGTATACTTTACTCATTAACTTAACCAAGGAAAGCAAAGAGATTACAGAATATTATACACCAAATTCAGAACAAAAAGTAGAAATACTGCACTTTCTATATCCCTCAGTCTACTAAAACAGGAACCATCTAAGCAACTAATTGAATACGAAAAAAAAAAATCGGGCTCTTCGAAAATGGACCAATAATCAACCAGTGTGTAACTGCAACTCAAGCAGCAGCAGAACCAAAGAGACTCCAGTTGTGCACTTTGAAATTAGAGACTGCAAGTTTAAAAACTTCAGCCATTGGCATAACTCCAGACTGTGCAGCAGGTACAGCAATGCCTGCCCCGACTGCGGTAGCACTCTCACTCAAGGGGCTACAATCACAAAGGTAAACAAAGAAAATGTTAAGACAGCAAGCTAATTTATAGCTTTAGGAACAGCAGGAGTAAACCGAGTTAACGTCCAAACTTACTTAATTACTAGAGGCTCATATGCAGTTATCAGTACATCAGTCCCAACTTCCTTAAGGCGAATGTTTGCCAGGTACACCTGAATGGGACACGATCAGATCTCATCTTGCAGTTAAAACTGCATCGGGGAAGGTGTGATGGGGTGGAAAGGGAATGTACACACTTACCTTAACCAAGTTCTGTGCTTCCCTCCCTTGTCTTCCCTTAGCAACTGCCTATGAATTGAATATGGTTGATCAGGATTAGCTTGACAACATGAAATGATAAATTTTACCAACTAATTAAAGAAATTTATGAAATTTTACAACTTGCTGGCTTTTATGTCGATGACTCTCATCCTAGGTGAAAGTTTGTGTGTTGGGAGAACTAACAATCTTCACATCTACTTTCATTTTTCCAGAAAAAAAAATTCATGCAAATGTGAAGGAATAAGGAAGATAACTTTCCTTTACGAAAATATCTACCTATTAAAAGTAAAAGGAGAGGAAAGTATGTGGCTAGAGAACTATAAATCCTCTTCTGAGAACATGCATTTCAGAACATTGTCGAATAACATTATAGAGGAGCACCATACTAAGTTCCTAATCCAACAAAAAAATTCATGTGCATCTTGCCAGGTCACTTGATGAATATACTACATGTAAAAAATATAGAGAAGATGGCCAAACTGTGGAGTTGATATAGGGACCAATCTCATCTGTCTGTTATATTCAAAGCAAATTCAAGTCATCAAGGCCATGAGTCATAACTTTCAGAAAATCGTTATCACATATTGGTATTGGGGATGGCAACTTGTCTCCTTATATAGTTATATGGACTTGGCAATGCTCCCCTCTTGAGAGTGCCATATCTATCAAAAATTAGACAATGGATCTGCCAACTTTGTGAAGAAAACTACAAATTCTAAAACTTGTTTCATACAGGAGCACAAACTATGGAATTTACTGTAAAGAGAATGAACGTTCCTTCTTTTTTTTTTCTTTTTGATAATCGTGGTGTAAGAGAATGGAAGTTCTTAGGATTTCTAGAGATGCTAACTAGTCATTAAGCAAAAACGATGCTTCTCCCTAATGGTATATGACCTTCATGATAACTTCCCCATGATGACAGATGAAAACAGCATTTTCTTTAAACACTAAAACAGCTTTTGTTGCCATCGAAACAATGTCATACACATGAAGATCCATAGAAATAAGATACCAATTGAAGTTGAGATCATACATAAGCACTTCTAAAATAACACTAACATACCATTTGACCAACAGCGGTGGTGATGACAGAAGGCATGTTTCTATAGCACAATTCAGGGGCCTCAAACACTGCTGACTGCTCAGTGATCTGTAGATATAAACCGAAAAAAATCAACAAGATAATATCTGAGATGTGTAACCTAACCTGGGCTTAACCAATAAGCAAACTGCAAGCTTCAGAGAAATGAACAAGTTCAATATCTCACATTTCATGTAAAAGAATTCCCATTTATATGAGTGTGTAAATACAAGAACAATTATTTTGCAATGCAATACTGGACCTTGAAGAAAAACTCCGAGAGTTGTCAGAGTACTGAACTACTTTAACCAAGCTCAAAGAGATAATACCGGAAATCATAAATTCATTTGAAAAAACTGAAATTAAAACAGAGAACTAAACAGTGATATATGGAGGAAATCCATTGATTTACTACCAGCACTACAAAGCTGACTAGCAGCATTGGATAGACAATTCAGTTTGGATCAATCATTAGCTTAAGCTCTGGGAAAGATGCATTATTCACTTGGGACGTATGAAAACGAGAAAGATGACGTTGGAGATCTCCAGACCAGCAAATCAAATAGAGCACTCCAGGAAGCAATGCCCAACGAAAAAGCCAAATGTTGATCCTTCAACCCTTATGTCTGGTTGCAATTCATTCTTTCTATCCCAAGGAAGTAATGGTCTTTTTCTTATGTAAGCTTCCTTCCTGGTTTTGCTAGGACCAGTTAATGGGAAAAAGAAGACAAATTCCATTTTACTCTGCCCTGCTTACCATTTCAAAGGGGAAAAAAAGTCACTCTACCCTCTGTGATCAGTATTTAAACGGATTACCAAAATGCCTGAGTAGCGCATGAGAATTCACACCTAAAACTTGAGAAACACAAGGTAGCTGGGTTTTGAATCAGGAACAAGAGTCGCAATAGTTTTTAATACCAAACACCTGATACAAATTAGGTCCCATCTAGCTCGTTCAGTTTTGCAGTGCCTCCGTGTTCCATTTAAAACTTTTTCGTTTGGGTAAAACCCTTGGAGAACTATTTGTTCAGTCAGTGCCTCAGTCCAAAACTAATTGGGTTGGATACATAAATTATTTGTACCCGTTATGCTCAATTTTGAATTATTTGAGAGATCCAAAGAAAGTATTGAGAAAAAAAGGTAACAAATAAATAACAACAGTCCATATGAACAAGTCAAAGAATGGTAGTCGTTGGCATGTGGTCATCTCCCTACATATTCACTATCTCGAAAAGCATATAAAATGTTAATCAAACAGAAACGAAGAGAACAAAAATTATGTAATCCCAAAACAGTTGATCTTCTCTGAAGATAGGAGAAGAGCTTACTGTAGTTCCCTCAGCCTCTTGTTCATTGGCAAGGTCTTGAATAAACCAAGTGGCACTTCCACTGTCTGCTACATCCATCTTCAGATCCAGAAGCTCAATTATCAAACTCTCATCGCGCTCAGGGTCCACAAACACCTCCTGCATTCAAACAATCAAAGTAAAAACAAATTCAAACAGAAGATTAGAAAAAAATAATGAGACACTATCCAAAATAATAAAAAAATCCATTTTCTCTTCCAAGATTGAACTTTTATAAATAACAATACAGGTGTACTTTTCCTATTCAATCAAAGGTAACCAAGAACAAAGGCAACAAACCTCGTATAACTTAAACAAATAAAACAAAGCAAATCTGAACAAAAGGATGTAACACAATCAAAAATAAAATAATCCCAGAAATTTCATCCAAGACTGAACTTTTACAAAGGAAATTGCAAATGAGGTTGTATCATGTATAGGGGAACACGGTCTCAAGTATGTGGAGGACTGATGCGGCAACACATGGCGAGCAATAACACACTATGTTGATCGGTTTTTTCAAAAATGTCACCCCGATTCTCCAGAAGTAGTGCATTTTTGGAGATCCAACACAGGTACAAGCGTACGACAACATTTTTGGAGAGAAAAGAAACATAGATAACAGGTTACTGCAGTCCACAGTAAGGAGCACTGAATAACACCTCGGGTACATGACAAATGAGTGCAACCCACTTCGGGGAAGATTCCGAGACCCATGTCTTGCCGTTAAGGCTCATCTAGCTCCAAAGACATGGGACCAAAAGCAGAACCACAACCGAGCAAGACAACAATAAGATAGGCTTGACAATCCACAAATCACAGAAAGTACAGAGATTCTCACTAGCAGTACACAAACATCAGAGTTTCTGACCCAGTAATGTGAAACTACCACAAAAGGGTAAATTCTACAAAAAGCTACTCCCTATTATTTCTCTATAAAAAAAAAACCACTAAGCCATTTTGTATTAGGGGTTCCAGAATTCTAATAAAACACTACACAGTACATATTACTTTTTCTATTGAGCTACCTTGTTTCCAATCTGTGTGCCCTTAAACCACCATACTTAAAAATTCAACTATACTAATTTACAGATAAAACAAAGGTTGGCTCAACAAACCTGATGATCAGGAACTTGACGAACATTACTAACATCCTGCAAAACGAATGAAATCGAAGCAAAACCCTTAATTAATATGAAAAAATTGCAAAATCATATAAAATTATCATTTTGAAAAGGAAAAAAAACCTGGAAACGGATAGGGAAAGTAGTGGAAACAGCGCCACCGAAGAGAGAACGATCAGCAGTAGAATCACCAGCCATATTCAAAATTCTAACTTTTACCCAAGAAAAATTCTATGTAATATATAAATATAAAATATTATAGTAGTAAGTAGAAAGAACTAGACAAACCCAGAAAATATATACTATACTGCAATGAATTCTTCAACGATAATGCTTGCTTTTAACGCCAAATTCAAAAAAAAAAAATTATTTAAAACAAGAAAAAATAAACTGCAACAGCTTGATTTGAACGCAAGTTCAAATTTTTGTTTACAAATTTATTTATTTTTAAAAAAAAAACATAGTTGGAAAAAAAATAAAAAATGCTAAGTTTAAATAAAAAATAAAGAAAGTATCAGAGCCAGGTTTCGATCCTGGGACCTGTGGGTTATGGGCCCACCACGCTTCCGCTGCGCCACTCTGATAATGTTGTTATAATGTTTCTCATCAAAAACTTTAAATAATTCGATGGATATAAATTGTAAATTTGTAATAGAGAAATTTTGTATGCTAAAAACATTCAAGGGGATTCTCTTTTTTGCATTTTTCAAATTCTTAAATAATTTTATTTTCGAAACAGATTTGACAAATAATGTCTTCAATGTGCAAATTTCTCTTTCCCAATTGATTACCTTTTGATTGCAAGATCAAGAACTCAAACACTCCAACATGATATTTATTTTTATTTTTTTGAAAAGATCATTGACCAATCAACAAGGTAAAAAAAAAATCACCTTACAATTGAAGGTAAAATTCGTCACAGATTTAAGAGGAAAAGAAATTAAGGTTTCATTTGTTTACGCTTAATAGAGGTCTAAATCTGCATGGTTCAGATCATAGTTATCAAGTTTGTTTATTTTCAAGGTCTGAATCTTAATGATTTAGTGCGTTTGTTTTTCTTATTTTACAATCACTTAATGAGTCTGAATTATTAAGATCTATAACAAAGTTTTAACATTATTAAGATGTCTATTTAAGAATTTCTTACAAATATGATTGTTACCGCTACTCAATCTTCTTTCACCCACCATGTATAACCATCATTTCAACCATAACTATTCACCACCACTTACCATCCTCACCCCAATCACAACCACTACCGTCAATCACCAAAATCAATTTTCATCACTATTAGCCATCATTTGCAATTGTACCATCAACCATTGCTACTACATCCACTAATTACTATCAATAATTACCACAATTAAGTCAACATTGTATATCGCTAACCGTTGTCATCATTCATCACAATATACAACCATTAGATATCAATATCATTTCACTACTAATTATTAGTCGCCAACAACAACAACTATAGTTAATCACTACTGTTAGCCATTATACCATAAACTACTATCCACAATCACTATCATTAGTCAACATCATCTCAAATTGACTCATACAATCACCATCGTTAATCATCACAATTGTCAATTATCATATAAAATTTTTAAAATATTTTATAGATATAATATTAGATCTATTTTATACTTAAAATATTTGTTATTTTTTAAATGAAGAAAAAAATTATATATTCAGATTTCGAGAAAACAAACAATCTAAACTATTTAATAATCAAATCTTAATGCAACATCTTACAAACTCAGATCTCTAAATCTTAATATATATCTTAATATTCTGATGAAAATTCAAATTCAAATATCTTAATCTTAATAAAAAGAAATGAGGCCTTAACATTCAATTTAATTACAACAAAAACAAATAGCTTTGAATTCAGGTATAAAAAATATGTATATAATAATTTATTTTCGAACATGCATGTACAAATCTGATATTACTAAGAAGAAATTTTCAGAGAACATAAAAATTAGCATCAGAGTCTTATTAATAACTCCCTCCGTTCTATATTAATTGATTATTTTATTTTTTACATGTATATTAAGAAATCATAAATAAGAAGATAAGTTTACTAATTTACCTTTTTAAAAACTTCTTGAGATTTTTACAAACAAATGTGAACACTTTCAAAAAAAAAATTAATTGCAAAGATAATATAGAAAAAAATTAATTAATGTTTTCTTAATTTAATAAGGTGGACAACTAATATGAAAACACGATATTTAGTAAAATGATCAACTAATATGGGATCGGAGGAGTAGGGGTGCTCGTGGTTTGGTTTGGATCGGTTATTGGTTAAAACCAAACCAATCTAGTCGGTTTTTTAAATTTCTAAAACCAAACAAATAAAAACCACCGATTTGGTTATTGTTGGTTTGGTTCGGTTTGGTTCAGTTTTTCTGATTTTTTCAATTTGAAAGTAATAAATTTTTTGAGGGCATACATATCTCGATAAACACAAATTAGTACATGAACAATCCACAAGAAAGCTACTGTCGGTTCAATTAAGCAATACTAAAGTTATCATTCCACGAACAAAGTGATTCAATTAAGAGAAAGTGTGACTATCTTATGTGATGTAGGGTAGGTAAAAACTAAAGTATGAATTTTGATGGACTTCGACCAAGAATTGTAATGGTTAAGCTAAAATTTAAGTGTTAGACTTGAGAAAATGGTAAAGTTAAATACTTAAGTTAATCAAAATTTAACAAAATATTTATATTTTATTTATGTATATAATATATAAATAATTATAAAACTTATATATCTAATTTATCGGTTCGGTTTAGTTATTTTTGTTGTTATTTTTTTAGTAAAATCAAAATCAAATCAAATAGTATCGATTTCCAAAATTTAAAACCAAACCTAATCAAACCAAACCAAATATCAAAATTTAAATCAATTTGATTCGAATTGCGATTTAGTTTGATTCTTTTAACCATAATCATGAACAACCCTACAAGTGAGTAACTGATTGCATTGAAACGAAGAAAAAATTATTGAAACTTAATACAACTTATACTATTAGTGAAGATTAATGTGAGAGAAAATAACTCTTTAATTAAAAGTTTTGAACACAAAGAAACTTAAATAAATAACTTTATGGTGACACGTATATGACAGGTGTATCCTATTTGAGGTGTAAGGTTGCAAGACCCTTAACTTGACGTTCGCTGATAATTATGACCCTTAATTTTGGTTGTACACAAATAGACACTTAAACTTGTATAAAATTGAATAAATATACATTCGCCCTACATGACAATTTTGTGTCCTACGTGGCGTCCTACATGTATTATGATTTATGCCATGTAGGACACGTGTGTCTACTTGTTCAATTTTATACAAGTTTAAGTGTCTACTTGTGCACACTCAAAGTTGGAGGGCATAGTGTAATGACCCTCCTGGTCATTTCTGTATCTTGCCTTCTGTGTGTCCTGTAGCGACCCCAAGTCATTTATGACTTGCTGGACTGACAGTTCGGTCACATGGTCGTTCGTTTTGTTATGGTGTGAGTTTTAGTGTTTTGGAGCTTATGAACCTTGAACGATCATTTTCGATCAAAAGTTCAAGAAGATGACATCGGAATCCAATTTTGACGATTCCATCAGCTCCGGAAGGGTCATTTTAGGCTAGTAGCATGGTCGGCATGACTCCCGAGGTTTTCAGTGTGAAGCGGTGCGATTAGGCGTTTTAACTTTAAGTTTAAGCCTAAGTTTGACTTTGGTCAACATTCTGAGTAAACGCGCTCGGATGAAAATTTTGTTTAGCGCGGTTAGCTCCAGAATGTCAAGTTTGGTCTAAATTGACCTTTCTTTTGTGTCTCGAGGTTTTCGATATTTTTTCCGAGCTCTTTTGTAGTTTTTGACTTAAAATGACATTTGGGTGTGGGACCCACTTTTTTGTCAAGATGACTTCGTATGGAAATTTTGACTGTGCCATTGAGTTCGGAATATCAAATTTAGTATGGTTGCATATCTCGTTTGCGTGCACGGGGTTTCGAACGAGTTCGGAGCGCCTCGTCGGAGTTTTTTTAGTTTTGAAAATTATTGCAAAAAATCTGCTATAAATGCAGAAAATCAGCAACATTTCCCAAACTTCAATCCCTCACAACTCTCTCATTTCAAGTCCAAATTCAGTGATTCAAACGTTTATTTTGTGAGGTTTTTCGCAAGGAACGCGTTGGTGAGCTCAGATAGTGATTTGGGGTCCCCGTTTGAGGTGATTTTCGTAAAATACCTGCTGCCACGACCATTTTTATGAGCTTGATTTTGGAAAATTTTGAGACTTGTTTTCTCAGCCATTCTAGGTTCGATTTCAGTGAATTTTTAGGCTATATTGAGTGGTTTTTCGAGGAGAACGTCGTGGTGTTGTCACATTTCACTGTAGACCTCCAGTTTCTGGTAAATATACTGATTCAACTGTTGTCCCATTTCTAGTTTTTGAGAAAATTTGGGTTTTGGTTGCATGTTGATATTGTGTTGTTTCCGAGCCCCGAATTGTGTCCCATTTTGGGACATGAGCTGGGGGAACCGGTTAGGACCCACTTTTGGGGTTAATTCCGGATCTAGTGTGGGTCCCACTTTCCCCGTTTTGACCCCGAAATTGGTCCGTCTCTGTTTATTGTGATTTTGGTGTCTAAACGACCGTAATAATGTTGTGACTCTATTTTTGATAGCGGGACAACATTTCGAGGACGTTCGGAAAGGGAAAGCTCCGGAGAAGTGATTTTGGAGCGCATGTGATCGGCCTACAGGTAGGCTACGGTTTCTCTTTCTTAGATTGAGCTTGAGAGTGTGAATGCATGTTGATTAGTTGGGATTTGGGTTGATAGTGAATGAATCATGCATAGGTGTTTAGAAATCATGTTTTCGGCCTATTTCAGGAATTATCGAGGAACTGTGAGCATGTTTTGTGTTATTAATTGTCTATCTTTGCTATGTGGAGTACTTGTATGCTCGATGACTATTTGTTGAAGCATTTGGGCCTTAGTTTAGGTTTGATTAGGGTTTGCCTTAGAAATACATGATTCAGATCCGATAGGCCTTAGTTTTGCCCCAACGCCGCTCAGCCGGTTTAGATCCCTGTAGATTGGTGTAGCAGACTTAAGCCTAATAGTTTGGGCCTTAGCTAGGTGATATGTTTGCTCCGATGATAGTTATCCTTATTTCCCCGATGTTACAGCTTCAAGAGTTACGTCGACGAC